CGCCGCGCCCGAAACTCTAACCCTAGCGTCCCCAATCAAATCCTCGCGATTCAGCCGCGTGACCTTGAATTGCTCGGCGAATAGTTCGTCGGATTCGGCTTTGAAGCGGAAGCGGCCGGCGAGAATCGATGTACCGGTGACGGATGCTTTGATATTCGCGCCGGTGGGATCGGGCGGTCGAGAGGAGGTGGAGATGGAGAGTGAGAGGTGCGCTGTTTATTGTAAGAGGGGGAGGAGGAGGATTGAGATGGAGGATCGGTTCAAGGCTGAGCTTGATGTCGATGGAGATCCCCAATTGGTAATTTTCTGACATTTTTAAAGAAATTTTAATTAAAAAGTTAGATTTTTTTAACCCCAAAATGTTGGGATTTCAATTTTAAAATTAGGACTTTGTAACTTTCATAAAGATAGGACTTTCAGTACGAAAGTTTGGATTTTTTGAGCATATAAGTTTTCAAATTAACAACCTACATCTATAACTTGTTCAGGCTTTCTTTGGCATTTTCGATGGTCATAGTGGTACTAAAGCTGCTGAATTTGCTGCCGACAATTTGGGGAAAAACATTATAACTGAAATTAAGAGAAAAGATGAAGACATAGAAAAGGCGGTTGCTAATGGGTATATGAAGACTGATGCAGAGTTCCTTAAAGAAGAAGCTGTAAGTGGATCCTGCTGTGTCACTGCTCTCATTAAGAAGGGTGATCTTATTGTGTCCAATGCTGGTGATTGCCGGGCTGTCTTGAGCGTTTCGGGTACTGCTGAGGCACTTACTTCGGATCATCGGCCATCGAGGGAGGATGAAAGGGAGAGAATTGAGAACCTCGTAAGTAACTTATCTCATTGCACATTGAAAATATTTTCGCTGTAATGCTCATGTTTTTTCATAGAACATAATTGTTTCTGGTCAATGGGAATGGTACCAAAGAAGTTAGTTGTTAAAATAAGTAGGCCAGTTCTATAAGTCTACATATTTGATGAATTCATTGCTTGGTGAAAAGGAAAAGCTTCTTGTTAAACTTGTTTTTTTTTGTTAGTTTTGAATTTTTTGAAAGTTGAAAAGGGGGGAAAACTGACTATAGTATGTAAATTGAATTGTGTAAGTTTTTTTTTTAAAATTTGACGAGTCTTTTTGTTAATGTGCATGCTTGTGGCAACAGAACTGTTTGTTACACGTTTGTGTTCCTTTGGTTTTGGTTTGAAGAAGTTTAGAAACTGAAACATCACCAATAATTTTCAATGTAGGTTTGGTGTCACTTTTTATTAAATTTGATGAGTTTATATGTTAATGTGCATGTTTTATTGAAATAGAAAATTTGTTTGAATAGTACATTTGCGTTCGGTGGGTTTAACTCTGTTAAAGTTCAAAAAAAGGAAAGAGTAAATATAATTACAATATGGGATATGTATCATTTTCTGATGTAAACTTGATGGTTATTAAAGCTATATGTCCTCTATGCAGGGTGGCTATATTGATTTTTGCCGAGGATTATGGAGATTGCAAGGCACACTAGCCGTTTCAAGGGGAATTGGAGACTCTCATTTGAAACAATGGGTCATACCAGACCCAGAAACAAGAATCCTTCCAATTAGACCGGAATTCGAGTTTTTGATTCTCGCCTCTGATGGGTTGTGGGATAAGGTGAGTTTCAGGTTTAACTCGTCTCATTGTTGTGTTATCCTCTATATAGGCGGTGATCAGAGATATGACATCGTTCCTTCTTTAACTTTGTAGGTTAGCAATAAGGAGGCTGTAGATATAGCTCGGCCCTTCTGCACAGACCCTCAGTGTTCATCACCACTCTCTGCTTGTAAAAAGCTTGCTGATCTCTCTGCTAACCGAGGCTCTGCTGATGATATTAGTGTGATGATAATTCAGTTGAAGCATTTCGTTTGAAGGGGTTAAATTTCACTTACTGTGTACATACTCCAGTTTGAAGCATTTCTAGTCTTCCACGGACTACTCGCCAACTTGGTAATGTTGCCTCCTTAGAATGACTTGGGCAGAAGCTCACTTATAGTATACGCACTTAAGTTTGAAGCATTCCTAATCTTCGATAATACACGCTTCAACTTGGTAGTGCTGCCTCCTTGGGATGACTTTGATGGAAGGTTGATACGATAGAGGGAGGGATATATACATATGCAAGTACCTTTTTTTATGTACTTGCAATTATAGATAATTGGGTTTTGTTAATCATCAAGCAGCCTTTGTTTTGGCTAGGCCTGCTCTCACTGTAATAGTTTCCCATATTGATTAACAAGAGAATTGCATCGAAGTTTTCCGTGCTCTTCTGTTCTTAACATCTTTAGATCGATATGACTTTGAAATTTTTGTGTAGCGATGCGAGTGTTTCGTGATTGCTGGTGGCTTGTACATATATCAATTTGAAGTCCTTAGCGCTTCGACACCCAGCATCTTTGTCGAGTTTGAAGTTCAAGTTTGAAGTCCGAAATTTTTAAACTTCAGCAGTAACCTTGTTAAAGTAAGAGAGAGAGAGAGAATCTTGGGTAAATTTCCCTTGAATTGAATATTGAGTGTGCACATATATTTATACAAGTAGAGGAGTGTGAGGTTTGTTCTCCCAAGCAATGTGGGACTAAAACCCACTACAATACACTATTATCAACAGCCCCCTTCAAACTCATGTTGGATCAAACAAAGTGAGTTTGCGTACAAGAAACTGGAACCGATGAACAGGTAAGGCCTTTGTGAAGAAATCTGCAAGCTCGTCAGCGGATGAAACATGAGGAAGTAGAATTGTCTTGTCCTTGATAACTTGGTGACGGACAAAATGAGCGTCGATCTCAATATGTTTGGTCCTTTCATGAAATACTGGATTATTAGCAATCTGGATGGCACTCTTATTATCACAGTAGAGAGGAGTAGGAGTCGTAACAGAAATACCGAAATCACTGAGAAGGCGACGAAGATGAATAATCTCTTTAGCTGTTGTGGACATTGCACGATACTCTGCCTCAGTACTGGAAAGAACAATAACATCTTGTTTCTTACTTCGCCAGGAAATAAGGGAATCACCAAGAAATATACAATAACCTGTGGTAGACTTTCTGGTAGTTGGATCATCAGCCCAATCAGCATCAGAATATGCACAAAGCTCTAACTTAGATGTAGCAGGAAACAAAAGTGAGCGAGTGCTAGTACCCCGGAGGTACCGAAGAATCCGTAATAAGACAGCATAGTGTACAGAACGTGGGGCACTAACAAATTGACTGACAATACCAACAGCATGAGAGATATCTGGTCGAGAGATGCACAAATAGACCAACTGACCAACAAGATGTCGATATCGGGTAGGATCAGATAGAGGCTCACCGTCAGTAGAGCAAAGTTTGACATTCTGCTGGAGTGGAGTATCGACAGTTGTATTATCAGTTAACTCAGCTTGATTTAGAATATCTGAGAGATACTTCTGTTGAGACAGTAATACACCCCGCGGGCCTTGAGAAATTTCTAGACCAAGGAAATACCGAAGAGATCCAAGATCCTTCATGTGGAACTGTTGTTGCAACTGAGATTTTGCGTATTGTATACCTGTCATATCATCACCTGTAATGATCATATCATCTACATAGATGAGTAATAAAACCCTGCCACGCGATGTAGTGCGAACAAACAGAGAAGCATCTTGATGACTTTCTATAAAGCCCGCTTTGAGCACAACATCGCGAAAACACTCAAACCAAGCGCGGGGTGCCTGTTTGAGACCATAAACAGCACGACGAAGGAGACATACATGTCCCGGAGGAATATTTGACCCTGGAGGCGGTTGCATATATACGGTCTCTGATAAAGAGCCATGAAGAAAAGCATTTTTGACATCCATCTGGTATAAGGGCCAACGATGAGCAGCAGCGACCGCAAGGAGAGTACGCACAGTGGGCATCTGAGCAACAGGAGCAAAGGTCTCCTCATAATCAATACCTTGTTGCTGAGTAAAACCTCTAGCCACTAAACGAGCTTTTCGACGTTCAATGGTGCCATCAGGACGAAACTTGACCTTATAAACCCATTTACTGCCAACAAGAGAGATCCCAGGAGGACAGGGAACAATATCCCAGGTATGAGTTTGCTGAAATGCTTGAAATTCCTCAGCCATAGCTTGTCGCCACTCTGGAATTTGAACTGCCTCTTGGAAGGACTTTGGCTCAACAATAGTATGAATGGCAGCAAGAAAGTTATGAAAGATAGGTGAATAAGAAGTAACAGAAGCATACCGGGCAGGCATGACATGTGGGCGTTTGCCTCGACGAAGAGCAAGAGGAACCTCAGGCGGGGGAGATGCTGGCGCAGGTGCATGAAGATCAACAGTATTTTCTGGAGTGAGAGTTGTGTCCACAGGATATGGATTAGATGGTGTAAGAGAAGACTCAGGTGAGGAAGAGTCAACAGAAGGAGAGGGAGAGATGTCAGGGAGATCTCGAAAGGAAAATTGAGGTGAAGAAGTGGGTGATGCAGTGGACGGGGAAGCATGATCGGTAGAGTGGAGGAAATTAAAGTCATCAGAAGTAGAATAATATGGAGAATCCTCTTCGAACTGAACATGACGAGATATATGAACTCGACGAGTTGCGGGATCATAACAACGATAACCTCGATGTTCTGAACTAATTCCTAAATAAACACAAGAAACTGCTCTGGGAGACAATTTATCACGTTCGTGAGATGGCAGAAAAACAAAACATCGACAACCAAAAACGCGAACTAGATCATAACGGGGAGGATGAGTATAAACACGACTATAAGGAGTAGCACCGGAAAGAGAGCTAGATGGAGTGATATTAATGGCATGAGTCGCGGTGAGAATAGCCTCAGCCCAGAAACGACGAGGAACAGAGTAAGAAATGAGCATTGATCGGGCAGTATCGAGGATATGACGATGTTTGCGTTCAGCAACACCATTTTGCTCATGAGTGTAGGGACATGACTGTTGAAAGATAGTCCCATGAGAGGACATGATAGAGCGCATGGCAGAGGATAGGTACTCTTTGGCACAATCAGAACGAAAAACTTTAATACGAGATTGCCATTGAGTGAAAATCATAGCAGTGAAGGCTTGATAAGCAGTAAGTACGTCAGAGCGATTCTTAAGTAGGTAAACCCATGTAAAACGAGAGAAATCGTCGATAAAACTAACATAATATAAGTAGCCAGATGAAGAAGGCAAAGGAGCTGGCCCCCAAATATCAGAATGTACTAAATCAAATAAGGAAGTGGATACAGATGTACTCATTTTAAATGGTAAAGCAGTGAATTTAGCCAATTTGCAACCAGCACATGACTCAATACTAGAACTAGATGATACAGGACCAAGTACTCCAGACTGAATAAGACTCTCCAGCCTTTTATTACACACATGACCAAGTCGTCTATGCCATAAATTGGCAGGAAGCGAGGTAGAGGGTTTTGACGAACAAAGAGAAGCAACAAGAGAACGTGGACGTATGGACTCTGGAAGGTGAAGATATTCCAGAAAATACAGTTTGTGCCTCCTACGACCCGCCCCAACCGTCTTGCCCGTCTGTGGATCCTGCACAATACAAGTATCAGAAGAAAATGAGACAAACAGGCCCGCCATGCATAAAGAGCTAATAGAAATTAAATTCAAGCACAATTGTGGAGCCACATAGACGGGACCAAGTGTTAGACGACCAGATGGATCATTTTGTGGGGTAATAGAGCCATACTGAGTAATGGACAATGGTTGTCCAGCAGCTGTGTAGATAGGAGGAAGAGAGGATGAAGTAAAGACAGAGGATAAAAGTGAGGCATTACAAGTCATATGAAAGGAACAACCAGAGTCAAAAATCCAGAGATCATTCATACCAGAGACTGAAGGATTAGCTGAAGAACCAGCAAAATGCATACCAGAGAGTTGTGCGGCGGATGTAGAGGTGATATGTTGAAAAGCATCAAGTTGACGGCGAAGACTTTCAATAGCTTGAATAGTAGAGTCTGAAGTAGTAGAAGGTATAGCATTGGCCAACAATCCTGGTGTACGAGAGGGTTGAGACTGAGGGGGTCGCCGACCACGTCCAGTACCTGAGGAACGTAACTCAGGATGAAGCTTGAAGCATGTCTCAATGCGGTGTCCTTCCTTCTTACAATATTTGCAAGAGAGCTTAGATCGAGCCTGTGGAGAGGGAGCCTGTGGAGAAGTATAATTCATAACAGGAGCAGTGACAGGTACAGACAAAACAGTCTCGAGTGAAGAGGTAGGAGTGTCTGTTGACAAATTGAGTCGTGCTGTCTGCTGCCGGGTCTCATAAGCAGTGAGAGCTCCCATAACTGAGGCCAAAGTCGGAAATTGAGGCTGGTGAAGTAGTTGATCAGCCATAGTTGAATATTCAGGAAGGGACTGAAACAATTGATGCACCTCATGCCGTTCGTACCAGGCTAGCCAGTCTTCATATGTGGAATTACGTCCAGGAAGCATGGAGCGTAACTCTGTCCAAAAAGCTTGCATTTGTCCAAAATGGGACTGCAGAGATGAACTACCTTTGCGTTGTAGAGAAATGCGTTGCAGAAGATATGCCTCCCGTGCACCCGAGCACTCAGTGAAACGCTCAGTGAGACGAGTCCACATGGCCTGAGCAGAGGGAAGCGAGCCAATCTCGACAGTGAGACCAGAGCCAACACAGCGAGTGAGATAATCCATAACACGAAATTCCTGCAATTGCCACTCTGAACTCTCCTTGACATAGAGAGCACGAGCAGTCTGAAGATCGACATCACCACTGCCAGAGGCAATAGTACTGGATGAAGCAACAGTGCTGATGGACGGTGGAACTGGTCCCGTACTGGTGAGATGATCAAGCAAACCAGCGCCACGCAAGGCATTGGTGACAATGGTGGACCACCCTGCCCAGTCACTTTGATCATTGAGGGGCAAAGGTGGTTTGGGAATCTTCTCTGAAGGAGCCATAACAGCAATCTTGAGACGTTAAGATGTCGAGATGCTGTTACTAATGTCGTTCGTTTGAGGCCGAGAGACGGCTTGAAACGACGATGCCGTTAATTTGAGACCGAGAGACGGTCTTGAAACGACAATGCCGTTAAAATAGAACCCGAAGGTTAGAATGAAACCCGAAGGTTTAAAATAGAACCCGAAGGTTAGAATGAAACCCGAAGGTTTAAAATAGAACCCGAAGGTTAAACGAGAACGCGAAACGCGTTAAGAGGCCGCAAAACGACAAGGCCAAAATATCTGGCAGATGAACGCCAAATAATTAAAAATAAAAATAAAAAAAAATA